TGCCTTCTTTTCTTCTTGTTCTCAACTTTAAATTTATTATTCATTAAGAAGAGAAGATTTCAATTGTAAAATTCATTTTGAATTGTGGGTCGTGTTGAAGTCCCTTAAAGATCAACATTGTATAAGGATTGGTCCGCCTTGTTATAAAGTCACCGTGTGGGTCATATTGAGGTCCCGTAAAGCTCAATAGTGTGGGTCGTGTTGAGGTCCCAGAAAGTTCAACATGGTAAAGGATCGGTACTCTTTATTGTAAGTTACCATTGTAGTAAAATTGGCCTTACTCGTGACAGAGAGCTTGGTAACGGGGGACGTAGATCATTGTATTGGATCGAACCTCCATAATATATCGTTTGCACTCTCTACCCCTTCTACTTATCGCTTTTATATTTATGCTTATTATTTGAATTAATCTATTTAGTCTTTATTTGGTTGAATTTAGATTAATTTTTCGAAAAAGTTTCAAAAACCAATTCACCCCCCCTTGATTAGTTATTCTTGGGCTAACAGCATTGATTTTGATGGCCAACATTTTTTCAGATTCTCTTCGTAATTGTTTACCGGTAACGATGCCCGCCACTATTATGTGTCTGAAAATTTCCCCACGAAACATGATATGAAGCTGTGATCTCATCTGTAACAGACCACGATCTTGTTTGTGACCTGTTAGATTTGTGACCTCTATGACGTGTGACCGCCACTATTATGTGTTTGAAATCAGGGAAAATGTGTGACTGAAATTTATCGATTTGACTATAATATGACACTTTGATCATAGTGTGTATATGTGACCAACCTTTCGTTTGTGACTGAATATTAGGATTGTGACCGAAATATACCATTGTGACCATCATTCTACGAAACATTGGAAATGACGAGAAAAATGGGTGTAATAATGTGAAACATTGTGACCGTAATCTCATTATGTTGATACCTTATTTTGATTTTGTCACTGACATTTCTTGTGCATAAATGCAGAAATGGGTTACGTCCATGTCTATTTGATGTATGGAAAACAATCATCGTTGGTGTTACTCGATCGTAGTTGTTGTTATGTGAAGCTTTTGGACATGATAGTGACAGAATTCTGTTTGGATCCTTCTAAGGCGGCGGTCACAATGAAATACCAATTGAAAAATGATCTGCCTCCAGTCAGAATAAGAAGTGACA